AAAAAATCAAAAATAAAAAAGTTTTATATTTGCATATGTATTGCTTCACGGATATACCCGACCCCGGATCATGTTACATTTCTCGGCAATCAAGCTTCTTGGCGTCTGAAGGGGTCTTCCCCCCAGTGGTTGGGATAACTTTGGTGCACATATCGTACAGATCATTTGTGCACATATCGAATATTTACTGTATTTAAATTGAAATATCTCCTAAATTACTAGCTTTTTGACATACATAGGTCAATATTTTTTTATAAAAAATGTCTAGCTGCATTTTTAAATTTATACAGAAGTACCTGATTTCATTAAAAAGAAAACAAAGTTTACCTTTATGTTGCTGCGTACGCTGAACGTTTTTCTATTCTGGAGTTGGTAGTATGGTCGTAGCCCAAGACTTCTGCGAAGGAAGAGTTTAGTTTAGCTTTCCCACCAATTGAGATCTTCTTACTTGGTATCACATGGTTGTCACAAAAATTTTCTGGCAACTCAGGACCACCACGAGAGAGATTCATCTCACGAAACTTCGCGTTGATCTGTTCCCACCTTTTCCATCACCACTCTTTTCCCGACTATTTTCCGGTATAGAAAGAGTTGCGGAGAAGACGTGTTGAGCCCAGTTAATTCTTAAACGTCTAGTTAAAAGAAACCTCTTTACGAGTTCTTACCGAGTTACTAACATCAAGTCTAGAGGAATCTTTGGAGGAGATCGGGTTAGAGTCCCTGTCGAGTCTATTAATCGTACAGTACGTAAATCTGCTGTTAGGAATTATTTCGGTTTTCCTTGTGTCTCCGTTTGCCTCGGTTTTTCGGTAAACTGGAAAAAATAAGTTTCTTTCTCTGTTGGAATCGAAACTAATTAAAGTCAACTTAGAGTATTCTTTAAACTCTTGTAAATTAGAGTCAATCTTTAATCGACAAGTACATTTAACACTTGTTAAAGTCTTAGTCGCTCGAGGTATACCGTCAAAATCTAGTTACGGGACCTATTACTAACATTTCCTGTGACACTAGGCGTTAGCCATACATCGGTTAATTCACATATCACTTCCTGGAGTATTCGGCGTTAGCCATACGGCGGCTAGTTTTCACATCTAAAATCCTTTGGTGTTGAGATTAATCAACACACATGAGTTGGCCTAGTAACACTTAACTCCGGCTCGTAACAATATATTCTCGACTTTAAGTACTCTATGAAACATTTTTCGCTACATGCAATAGTAGTAGGAAAATCCAGATGTAAAAATCGGTTGATACACTGTGCATAAGTTATATCAATGAATCGATTGTGGATTATGTTTGCATTCAAAAAAATGAATTGCGTTGTTTTTATTCGAATCATTAATTAAGATTTTTTCCAAAGAAAACGGACTCTAGAAGAAACTATTAATATTTTTATTTGCGACTGTTAATTGTTTGAATAATTGATAATATTTTCACCATTCTAACTACAAAAAGTAGCTTCAACTATAACATTAATTTTATTTCTTAAAAGTTTCGAGATATAAAATAAAAAAAAGCAGCTGAATATATATTGAAGTAAATTTTAATCCTTAAAGTGGATTCAGAGAGTAAATTATGAGTGTGTAATACGTATGTGCTTTCCATATCCCTAAAGTTTTATCATTTTTTTGGGTGTCTGGATTGGAAATCATCCCTTGAAAGCTCTACCGGCGATTGCCTTTGAACCCTTTCCAGAACTCTCAAGTGCTAGACAGGGCTTTATATTCAATTTTCCACTAACTTCTCATGATTGGTGTTAAGGGGAAAAGTAAAATAAAATAAAAGTCTAATCCTTCCACACACTGGCTTTTAATTTGTGGGGAAAAGAACAATTAGTACAATGAATATAACCTCTTGAAATTATTTCGGAATCACGCGCGAAGTTACAAGCTGAACAGTTTGATAAAATTTTCCTTGTGCTACCATTCTGCCAGAGTTAAATAGTTACCCCTAAATAAAGATGGCTAACATATTTTCTTTGAAAAAAAAGATACGTAAAAAATATCGCCAAAATCTTCTAGCTGAGGAAAAGTCAAGAAGAATATAGAAATATAAAAGTAAGTATTTAGGTACACCTACTCCTTGACTTATACTGAAGATATGTTCCTTAGAAAACTGTGTAAATCGAAAATAAACTAAAATGTGAATAATTCAATCATTTATTTCAACGTAAAATAAAACTAAATATATCTGAAGAAACATAAAAATAACGGTCTATTCATAAAATGATGAACATGTAAAGTTACATGTATGTAATACATTTTACATACAGGGTGTCCCACAATTAGTGTAGGACCCGAAAAGGGGTTGTAGGTCGGGCGATTCTGAACAACTTTTTTCTTTGCCAAAATATTGGTTGAGGCTCCATTTTCGAGTTATTAGCAAAAAACACTGACCAATGAGAGCGTGCATAGACCGGGCGCGCGAAAGCGCGAGCGACAGCTTTGAATATGACGGCCGATCGTCGTCGTGAACAAATGTTCGATACCGTCGGTATAACGTCGGTATATCGTCGGTATAACAGGAAGCTATTAGGTGAAAGTTAAATCGAATAATGAATTAAGAAGTTAAGAATAATATTAAGTTCTTCGTAATTCATGAATGGGAGATAAACCAATTAGTTGTTGTTTACCCAGACCAAGTATCTTGTATTTATTTTACGCCTTCAAAAAGGAAAAAGAATAAATTCACGAAAATTCATTCTGTCTTTCGTACCTTCCCTACGAAATGGGATAAAATTGGAATAAAATACCTAATGCAGTACCTCATTGAAGTGAAATAAATCTATTGCTGCGTACGTTTAATTTTAAAAATACGGAAACAACTTAAATAAAACTTACCCATTGATTCCTGAAAAAACTAGCTTCGATAAAAAATATTTGTGTCACCGGGTAGATCCACCGATCAGAGCATCAACAGCTGATATCCTGGCAGGGTCAATGAATTCTCAATTTCTTTCACTGTCTCTTTCTAATAATTGCACAACATAAGCACGACCGGTAAACGGACTATATATTCTCATTATAAGGTATCCGAATTGAGGAATCGATATTATATTGTATTTTATTAGAAGACATTGTAAGACTGGCCACGGATCGCGGTTTTGTTCTCGATCGCGACGCATACGTCGCGAACGGTTGCCATGCAACGATGATCTGTTGAACGACTGCGGCGTCGATCGACAGTCATCGTTTATTGTCGAAAGATACGTGTTGAAATAAAATGTATCGTTGTTTTTAATCAAAAATTCTATTTTCTTGCTTTCAAGATAATATAGTTTAAATTATTTATGAATATTCGTTTATGTGTTTTCATTCGTCGTATTTATGTGTTGAACTCACAGTGAAAATTAGTGAAAATTAGTGAAAAATGACAAAAAAAAGTGATAATGAAAAGTAATAATGAAAGATGACAGTGATAGGTGACAGTGAAGTTTCTTGAGAGTTTTTTCAGAGTTTCTATTATTTATGAGAACAGTAAGGATCGGTGGATCGACCCAGTGATAGAGATGCATTTTTATTGTGATTATTTGCGGTTTAACTTGTGAACATTTAAATTTGTTAATTATTCAATTCACATTTTCGTCATTACAATATCTAACGAAAATAATTTTCCATATTTTATCTATTATTTCTTTGTGATAACGAATAAACGTATTGAATAAATTCGATTTATTTTGATTACGTGAGTAGAGACTAATTTTGTTATTTCTTATTCATGAATGAATGGTAATTCAACAATAATCCAGATTTTTTTATTCATTATTCAATGTAACTTTCATCTAACAGCTTTCTATTATACCGACGTTATTCCGACGTTATACCGACGTTATACCGACAGTATCGATACATTTGTTCACGACGATCGGCCGTCATATTCGAAGCTGTCGCTCACGCTGTCGCGCGACCGGTCTATACGTGCTCTCATTGGTCAGTGTTTTTCATTAATAATTCAAAAAATAAGCTTTAACCAGCACTTTGGCAAAGGAAAAAGTTGTTCAGAATCATTTCAACTACCACCCCCTAAAATTATGCCCACCAGTAGCCGAACACCCTGTATAATCTTCTATTGCTCCCCTATATGCGTACTAATTGTCAATTTTTTAGCGACCATTTGGGTAATTGTCTATTCTTAGCCTGTATTCAAATCTAATGACTTTGTCAATCCTTAAAGATGAATGGTTTCCGCGAACAGAGAATGTGTATACAGTTCAGTTTTAATCTTTAGGAAACAGCATCAGAAACAATGGAGAGCTTCAAATTGCTTTTGATGAAAAAAATCGTCGTCGGCAGACATTTTATTCTGTTTTTGTCTCAGAAGAGCATTAAAGCGGAAACGTCCAATACTCAAAAGAACGTAAATATAAAATCGTGGGAAGAGTTGAGTCGGATTCGAAAATAGGCTTACAGGGAAGCACTTACAATTTGAAAATATATTAAAAAATATATTGTAAATTAAACTATAGAAGTTTCCGAATTTTTTGAACATACGTTGTATGCTTCTTCCAATCGTGTTATTGTGATTAGCATTCTCTGCAACATAAATGTCATAAATCGCGGAACTTGAAGGCAATTTTGATATTTATAGCTTTCATAACATCCAAGAGGTGATTAGTGGCGAACTACTAGTCACTGTTAGTAATTAAAAAGTTAAACCTTCCAGATCCATGTTACGATAAAGTTATTTCACATTAGTTAGATTAGAGAAATTAATTTTTTTACTAATTTTATTTTATTTTAACCTTTTGGATAAATATAAATGGGATTGCATATGATCCAAGAATAGTATTGTGGGGACATACTCGTACGGTAATGATTATTAATTTTTGTAGAGTTTTTGAATATTTTTGATTATAGAAAATATTTGTGGAGTACTAAAATTACAAACCTTGCTTAAATCTATTGACGGTGTGAGAAGAATATTCGTTTCTCAAAATGGGATTTCGAGAGTTGAGAATTTTTACAGTTTTGAATTTTGCATTTTTTTAAATTTGAGAATTTAAAACTTTAGAATTTTAGGATTTAAGACTTTGGAACTTTTGGTAATTCGGGGCTTTGAAACTTTGAAATTTTGGTACTTTAAAATTTTCGAATTTTGGGGTTACGAATATATAAAATTTTGAAACTTTGGAGCTTTAATATGTATTAATTTTGTCGTTATAGGGCCTTCATATTACCGAATGTTGAAAATTTGAAACTTTAGTACTTCAGAATATTGGAATTTTGGAAATTCGGTGTTTTTAAATTTTTAAATTATGAGTCTTTGGAACTTGGCGACCTTCATATTTTGAAAATTAAAAAATTGGACATTTTATAACTTTAGAAAATACCGTATTACAAGAGTATAGGTCGTGAAAAATTACCATTTCCGAAATTTGGTTATAGTCAATAAAAACATGAGAAGATGAGAGATAATAAAAATATATATAAACATGCTCTCATTAAAAATGATAAATCACAGATTACCAAATAATAACAAACATATAAATTAAGAAGATATATTTGTAGAAATTGTAATAAAATTTTACATAAAATGGAATTCTTTTAAACTAATTCTAATACTTTTTATAGTTTTATGAAATATTTCTAACAAATTTGTGAATCAGTAGCGTTCCGAAGAAGATCGGAACCATAGATCTATGCATACGCAGTAATACATTAATGCTAGAACATCTTTTTAAAGTTCTTATACTTATATTTTTACATGCTCATTCATTACAGGTAGAGGAGATGAGAGCAAAATTAGGAATGTTATTTTTTGCATGTTTTGTTCAGCATAGTAAAATAAATATTAATAAAAACAGTAAAAAATTGAAACGAAATCATGCCTTCATAGTTTGATCTTTATATCATATATTATATATATTTTTCCATTATATGTTAATGATTAGAAATTTCAATAAAAGTCAATATTGCACGAGGAATAAGTTTTGGCATTTATAAGAGTACAGAATTGAATATTACATTGTGATTTTAAATGATTTGACTGTTTAATGTATTATTTTAAAACTACTTATTTACATAATTTACATGGAGTAAGAAGACAGCAGTCAAATAGTGAACTTTTGATTTTCCTATGATAATTTATTTGTTTTATAATTAATGTATTTTGAAGTTATCAGAATTATTGTAATTTAACAAAACTATATTAAACGATCAAATGGTTGAGTTTGATTATAAGATAATTTAATCATATATAAATCCTTCTTTAAAAGACTGGTTATAAGTAATAAAACCATGTTACAAAAAAGGTACAAACTTTTATACCGGTGCTGACAAATTGGATTGTTCAAATATAAATTATTTGTTAAATTAACATAATTAACTTATTCCAGTATGATCTTATTAAACGATCAAATAAGACGGCAAAAATTCGTACAAATTAACTTTTCATTATATACGTATAATATACAATAGAATTATTTTTTCATTATATATAAATAAAAACTAATAGTAAAACAATTTTTTATGTACATAATTGCACGTAAAATTCTTGTAGCAAGACGTTAATTACCTTCTGTAAGAATTAAAATAGTTATAATCATTTTTCAGAAAAGCAATTAATTTTTAGGACACTTAGACTGTCCATCGTACTCCATACTCCTCTAATTATAACAATATTCTGTTTTATTTGTAAATAATTGACGAAATCATCAAATAATAATAATAAACTCTCGACAGTTTGCTTCAACCGTTTTTTTATTTAAGGCCATTCCTTCTCGTTTGATTCTTGACACACCCAGGGTTTGGCTATAATCCTCTTGACACGAAGGTACGCAGAAAATTTTCTATAATCTCCACGACTAATTTCTTTTTTTTATGTTGATATATTTAAGCCTTTGTTATTTTCAGATATATCGGGTGTACTGGTTGTAAAAGGAATAACGGCTTTTTGTCCATTTCGTATGCTTTAACAGTCTTGTCGCATATTTCAAGTTTAAAACTGGATAAAACTTTGATCATCGCTATTTTTGATTGAATTTTGGCAAATCTTGCACCTAAAAAACGATTCATTAAATTTATTTTAAAATTCATCAAATTCTTTATTTTTAAGTAAGTGACATCTTACCGATGCAATTTCTAGGCCCGTCTCCGAATGGCATAAATAACATTGGATGTCGGTTCTTTTCATTTTCATTAAGGAATCTATTGGGATCAAATACGTCTGGTTCTGGAAAAATATCCGGATCGCGCTGGATAGCATAAACAGGCAAAGCTACAAGTTGACCCTTTGGAATGGTGACTTTTGTATTTGAAAACGTGTAATTGTCGGTCGCTTTTCTACTTAACCATAATACCACTGGATATTTTCGTAAGGTTTCTGTAACAAAAAAATTTGCAAATGATTTATAGGTGTAGGCACAATTACAGTATACTGCATATTCAACATCTAATAAGTCACCATCTTTATAATTAAGTTACACTATTGTAAACATAAAAATGAGCACGATTTAAATTAATTTTCCGTAAAATTGATGTGTGCTTATACAATTCGTATTATATCAAATGTCACAATTTTTATTTTTATAATTTATATAAATTGTATAAATTTATTTTATTATTGAATATTCACCATAAATATTAAAATATTCAGTAATAGCAGGTCTATAGTTTAATAAAGGTTTCATCACTGTTTTCAATTTGTCAGCTCTACGGTACAATTAAAAAGCAAACACTGTTGTAATTAATATTTATAATTGATATTAATGATATATAAATAAAATTAGAAAAATCGAAATAGTTAAAACGTGTCACATTTTCTCATTTGTTACTTGGGCATTTTTATTGTTCTTAAAATTTGATGGTAGCACAATTAGCAAAACTTAAAATGAATAGGACATTAACAAAATGGCCAAGATAAGAATCTGATAATGTGATATATCCCAATCTCTTTATTTTTCTTCTTTCAAAAACAAATTTTATTATTATATTTTTATGCATGTAGCGGCACATGGTTCGCAGCGTTGGTAGTGTGGCGGTTTCACTCCCACGCTCATCGCCACTAGACGGCGCATAGAATCAAGACGTAGACTTTCTCGCTAGTACTCCAAGAGCCTTCCTATTCATATATATAGTTCCTGTCCATCCCTTCCTTATATCCCCGCGTCTAAGGCAAGGGCCTGCTAGAACGCCTTACTTTTTTAATAAGTCCACTAGCAGGCTCCGGACGAAACGTTCTCCCTCTCCTTTACTTTTCCTAGCCTCCCTACCATAGCTAGCTCGAACCGCCAAAATGCATTTCTTCACAATGACAACTGGATTTTAATTGTACGACAAACTTAACGAATTATAAATAGTTTGTTAAACATATGTTATTGTTGTGTACTTTGCATAGAAAGTTCAAAAAATTAATATGTCACGAGTAATTTTTAATTGAAGGGCGGAAGATTTTATACAAAAATTGGACATGCTTCAAGAATTGCCGATTTTCGCCTTATCATAATCTAGTACTATGTGCACGCGAAACTTTAAATCGTCAGTATGTATTGTATAAATATAGTATTATTCCACCTTAAAAAACCTTTGGGGACTCACTTTATCGTTTCCCCACTTGATCCAATTTCCTGCATATCACACTTACGAGTCTAAGAAAATTAATCTGAAAATATATTGCAACGTTTTGAAAAAATTAATAATAATTTATTTACGCGCTGACTAAATAAAAAAGGAAAAGTTCTATTAAAATTCTATTATTATAAATGTCTATTATACAGGGTTTGTCCAATAAGTATCCGGATTGATGTCCTAAAATGAAGTGCGTTGAAGATATACGTACATTGAGTTAATAATCTTCAAAGTATGCCCCTCCTGCATCAATACACCGTTGCCAGAGGGTTTTCCATTGTTTATACGCTTCCTGGAAGTCGGCAAGCGTAAGACTGTTCAGGCACTCCGTCGAAGCCGCTTGAACCGCCTCAATCGTCCCGAAACGATGTCCTTTATTAAGGCTTCTTTTAATGCGAGGGAACAGAAAAAAATCAGAGGGTGCCATATCTGGAC